GAGTTATACAATATGGCCAACTTCCTGTTTAGAGTGAGTATTTTCAATCAGACCTGTGTTATTCAGGTAGCAGCACGTGACTAACCTAAAATAATTTACAAACTTTTTAATAGAATACACAGCTGTTACTTTCTCAATGTTTGAAACCAAAAGGTGAAAATTTTATAAATATTAAAGTATTATATCAGTTTTCATAGTCTAAGAAAAAAATTTAATGGGTTCAAATGTTAGTAGAGTTTCTTTTTCTTATCTTGCGAAAAGTTATTAATTTTATAAAAAAAATTCTAAAGCTTGTAGAATATTATTTTCTTATTGGCCATGAATTGCATATAGAATGGACATTTCGATTGGTTGAAAATCATAAGATTCAGAAGATGAGATGCATAACATTTACTTGGGATCATAGCAAGTCGAGTCATACGCAGAAATACAGAAAAAGAAACATTTGGATTTGCATTTTAATAAAATTGAGTTTTGTTTTCCAATTTTTGCTGTATCAAAAAGGATTTTTTTTATAAAATCAATGGAATTTCTAGTTTATTCAATCAAATTGTATTTCATAAAGGAGTCAAACAATAAAATTTGTCAAATCTTTAGGCAAAATTAGACGCTTTACAGAACACAATAAATCCATACAAAATAAATTCATAAATTCAAGACCATTATTCAAATCTCTAAGAAATGCCACTATGAGATAAATATGAAACTCACCCATGATGCCAATTCTCTGATTTCACCAGCAATTTAAAAAAAAATTTACAACCCAAAAACCTAAACAAAGTTGAAACAATTCTACCCGTCTGCTAGAAACAATACTCCATATTCAAGTCTGTTTTCTGTTTGATATTTCAAATCTGCTGGTTTGTCATTGTGCCCAAGGCCTGGCAGGGGCTTGTTTAATTTGCCCAATGTTATTAGCTCAATGTCTGATGCAGCCTGTGGTCTCAATCAGGAATGGAGCCTGTGTCTGCTTAGCCACAAACAGACCGAACCTTTCCTGATAAGACTACGATCAAATTTTCATTGTATTAAAATCAAATGGTTCCGAGCAAAAAACAGAAAGCATGGAACTCTTCTTAAAGAAGCTGAAATTAGTCTTTGTTGTCCAGATGAAAATAATAATATTGCTACACGATGACTCTATTCCTCGGAATAAACATCTTCACAATGTCAAGCAATAACAAATTTCATCTTATACCTTGACTGCAATAGCCAACTTTCTGAGGCATGCACAGTAAACCATTCACCTGCCTGTATTATACAGTTTTAGGAAACATTCAAAGACCACCTCCTGTGGGTGTGCCTGAATTGAAATGGTTCTCAAAACAATTTGTTGTGTATTGAGTAAGCATCATCATATCGTTTGTCTATTATATAGGCCTACATGTTTATTATGCCTGTATACTGTAAAACTGTTATTTAATATTTTATATATCTAACACTAAAATTTTTAAAAAAATCATTGTTTTATAATTTCAGTGCAAAAATTAATGTATCAGTTTTCTTTATTATTATAATCTTATTGTTTTTTTAGGTCTTTGGACTACAAGTACAAATTTCCATTTTAACATATTAACCATAACATTGTGCATTTTAACCCTGTGCCAGTGCCTTCTGTTGGATAGTAACTTGTAACTTTCAACCACCCTAACCTTGACAATTAGCAAAAATTGCTTTAACCATGTGCCAGTGCCTCATGTTGGAAAGTAACTTGTTACCTTTCAACCACTCTAATCCCTAATATAGTGTTGTTAGAGCTTTAAAGAATTATTGAAAACTGACTCTTGGTCAGTAGGGTAAATCATACCCACTAGCCTGCTTGAAATAACTTGTACTGTGAATTCCACTTCCATTGTCTCAGATGGAAGCCATGAAAGGTTAGTCTTGCACACTTCTCTTTTGTTCTTTTGTTAAAGGCCAGGTTTGGTTTTGATTATTTTAATGTAATACTGGTGCTGAGTGTAATTTCCTGTTATTCTGAGCTGTAGGGTGCCAATTAGATTATTTAAAACAAGTTTGATATTGTCAACTCAACATCCCTTTCAGAGAGTTCACATAGCTTATATTGTTGTTTTTCTATATTTGTATTTTGTATTATTTACTAGAGAAGGACTAATATGTAGCAAATTGAATTATCGTAATTTTGGTGTCATGGGTTTGAAACCCTTCACAACTAAAGCCGGTGCTTTTGAGAATCTACTTCATGTCAACTTTCATCTCCTTCTATTTTTAAAAGGGAAGATGCCAAAGTAAGTTAAATATCAAATTTAAGACTATACAACTTTGAATTAGTAAGTAAATTACATATTCAAAGTCAAGAAAATTCAAAAGAGAACAGAAAATTCAATTCAATTCTTTCAAGTAAAATTTGAAAATTTCAAAACCAGACTGTGATTTTAAATTGCTAGGAATTCAAAACAGATGTGAAGAAAATTTAAAACAGAAAAAAATTTAATTGTTTACATTCAAGTTCATTAAAATCCTAGCCTTGAAGCTGTTTTACAATTTTTCTCCGTGAAATCTTGGTGCAATCACATTATAATGAATAAATCATCTTTAAGTGGGCAGATGACAATAAACGTACGCACATGAGTGTTCACAGCTTTGAGATATAAACATATTAAGACATTGTAAGCAATCTGAAAAAATGCAAAAAAAATTAAATGAAGTGAAAGGAGTTTTACGCCCTACTCTGAAAAATCAAAAGGCATTGTCTCGACCCATGCCAAGATTAAACCCTGGACCTTCAGGTTAGCGAGCAAGTGTCAAACTCCCTGAGCCAATGTGGCTTCCAAATAAAACGCAGATCTCGATATTCTATTCTGTATTTTTGATGCAGGTTATTACTCTTACTATCCATGATCTGACAACATTCTTCTTGAATTTGTGTTCTGTGGAATTTTGACAAACGGTTGTCAAGATTTATGCTTAACAATCAAAAATACTGTTAGAAGTTGTTAGATAATACAAAACCATGTTTAACACTGAATAAGAAAATCTTTTTATTGAGCAGAACATTTGATTGGCTGAAAACTATATGACCCGAAACTGGAGATGCATAACAATCTCTTCAGATCATGGATGGATGGATCACATTGTAATCATGAAGGCATGCCACACAAATATAGGATAATTCAGATGCAAGTTTCCTGGTTATTACCAAGGTTCTGAAATGCAATAGATCATCATTAAGTGAATTGGAAATAAGATAAAATGCAATGGAGTTTTATATCTTACTTTTCTGAACGTAATTGGACTAAAAAAAAAAAGACTAGCAACAGCAAGGTGGGTGCTTTTCCATGACAGGTTTTTTTCTATTCCCAAATGTCAAGGGATCTTTAACTTTAACAGATTTACAGAGAAGATCAGTTTCTGATTCCACAGCATTCAAAAGGTCAAAACAGAACTTTAAAATAACAATATCACAGAATACTTTAAATTTAATCAAAACTTCACATAATCAACAAATACAAACTTGAACTTAACATGAGAATGTCTGAAGAAAGCCTTACTAATTAACTAGTTTACTTCCACTTGCTTGTAGTCAATGAAAATAAGTTGCTCTCAGACTTTGAAAGTGTCAGATAAACCTATTCCATCTCCAAAATTTCAAGCTATTAAAAACTGTGTCCAATATCTTAACACAAGGCTCTTTTCTAGTATCACAGAATTTATTAATGCATCCATTTGATTGGATTGTATGCTACTGAATACAGCCAATCAGAGACTTCAACAGAAAATCCAAAAGCCATATGTTTATAGTCTTTGTGTCAAGGGCTCTGATTGGCTGTATTCGCTGGCGTACAATCGAATCAAATCACTGAAATCATTCTCTGATACATGAAAGGCGGCTATTGCAAAGTAAAAGACGAAATTTGTAATAGCTTGACATTGTGAAGATGTCCAACTCTTTGCACTGTTTAGATTATAAACCTTTTCAAACATTCAAATATCTGTTTTCCATCTTTCAGATTGACATATATAGTCTTTTTCATCAAGGGAGGCTAATCCGTTATAAATCTGGACAACATCAAATCAGGATTTTTTAAGTTGTTTATAAATTTGATATTCTAATCCTAACCACTCTGGAATTTTAAAATTGTCCAATCCCTGAACAGAAGACTTTTCTCGTAAAATAAACCTTGTCCAATCAGAATGGAGAGATTTATGGTAAACACAGAATAAGCTTAATAACACAATGTAATCACCCATTGTAAGTTTTTAACAAAAAAACCATCCGATAAGAAAACGTCCACAAAATGAATATGGCAAAAAAAGGCTATTACAACAGCTTCTCTGGATCAAATGTAACCAATGGAACTTCTCACCAATATCAAGTACTAGATGATAAAGTTATTTTGCTCTATTCTTTGATCTAGCCTTGGTCACTTTCTGTTAAATCCTTCAGACTGAAATCATTTACATCTTTAGCAGCCAGTTAAGCAACTTAATTAATGATCCATGATATAAACACTCATTCCAGAGATTAAAAGAATTAGATTATTTTCTCAATTCTTCTTTTTACTGCTCAAGTTACATTCTATGATTTAAAATCTAGATTAAATCATTAAATTCTGCAATGGCCTGTCGAGCACTTAGGAGCTCAGGACATCAAGTAACTTTCACAGGAGCTCAACACATCAAGTAACTCTCACAGGAGCTCAACACATCAAGTAACTTTCACAGGAGCTCAACACATCAAGTAACTCTCACAGGAGCTCAACACATCAAGTAACTTTCACAGGAGCTCAACACATCAAGTAACTCTCACAGGAGCTCAACACATCAAGTAACTTTCACAGGAGCTCAGTACATCAAGTAACTTTCACAGGAGCTCAGTACATCAAGTAACTTTCACAGGAGCTCAACGCATCAAGTAACTCTCACAGGAGCTCAACACATCAAGTAACTTTCACAGGAGCTCAGTACATCAAGTAACTTTCACAGGAGCTCAGCACATCAAGAAACTCTCACAGTAGATCAGTACATCAAGTAACTCTCACAGGAGCTCAGTACATCAAGTAACTCTCACAGAAGCTCAGTACATCAAGAAACTCTCACAGAAGCTCAGCACATCAAGTAACTCTCACAGGAGCTCAGCACATCAAGTAACTCTCACAGTAGCTCAGCACATCAACTTGATGCTTGATGGCGAAGAAAATTATAAAATTAATCTGACAATGATCCTAAATTCCCAATAACACAGATGATTACAATTCTGTAAATGTAGGCTGATGTGTCTTGATAATATGCAGATTCTAAATTAGTCAATAAAGTCATACACATGTATCAATAACCTCCTGTGATTTCATCAACAGTGACAAAAACCACCAAATCTCTACAAATCCGAAACGCAGAAAATTCTTCTGTCACTGCAAGGTTACATTATTGTGTCGAAATTCGTACACATGCATTAAAGTAATTTACATCAATTTAGTCCATTAAAAACATCCATATAACTTTCCTAATAGTTTTTTCTAAATCCTCCTAATGTTACCTATCCATGTCTTATCACACCTTCCATGTTGGTACTCTTCACCTGGATAATCTAGACTAAAGACATCTATTCCAACATACAGCAAGACAGGACTGGATATCAAAGAAACTCAGGTGGTAATAACAGGTAAAGATGTACTTGATAACGAAAGCTATGAATACCAAAATTCTTGCACTATAATAACAGTGGTGCTCATCTTTATTGGCATGGTTACTTTGAATCTTTAATTAACACCTGGTTATCAGAAGCTACAGGTGAGATTAAGATGGTAATTTGAGATAAACCAACTGGATGATAGCATCTACTCAATTTACTGAATTCTTGTAAAAGCCTCTGGACATTAATTCTTAAGAAGCATCTCCAAGACAATGCCACATGTTCTGAATGTAGCTGGATAACCTAGTCTAAAAGGTGTGATAAAGTAATTTCCACCTGGATAACATTATCTACCTGGTTAATGCCAGATGTTAGTCAAAGTATCGGATTTCCCCTTGTAATTATGTTACTATAAATAACTTTCAGGATATATTCAATATGTTACTAGATTACTAGAAGTAACAAATTTAAGTATTTGTGTATTAGTACAATCAGGTTTCAAGGTATCAAATTTAGTCTCATATAAAATTATGAAATTTTGTGTCTTACTTTTCTGCACCTGCACCTGGTTAATGAAGATGTTTCAGGCTATGGAATGTGCAATGAGGGAAATGTTTCTACTACAGAAGCATTAGCTGACACTTTTTATGTATATCCAACTGTTCAGGGTACATAACAGGTACAGCCCGTAGATGACCAGGTACCTTTTCCATGTCAGCTCCTCTTACCATAATTGATTGTCTGGGGTTGAACTCCGGATCCCAGATTATCAGAACTACTGAGGCTTGAAGCACAAAAATAAGACAAAAGTCATGCATAAAAGTACTCTTTTGTGTAAAACCTCAAAACAAAAATGTAAAATTCTTCGCCACAATTGTGTGTTGTCAACCATTTCAAATTCAAAACCCTAAAATAGAAAACCAAGTATAAAATCAGGGTGCCTAGAACAGGTCAAGTTATGATACCTTCCTAGTGAAGAATTTTCTATTGGTGACAAATACAATATATGTGTCAAAGAGTAAAATGCCTTCATATGTCAAGTTTTGGATGTAATGGCAGTCAAGAAGTAGTAAAACTAAAGATTGTATAGAGCAACCCACTACCAATTCAGAGGATTGATGTTCCATGGACTCTCAGCTAGCCATATTGTCTGGACTGAATCTCATTAACAAATCAAGATTAAAGGTGGCAGCACATTAATCACTTGGATACAAAATGAAGAGCAAGATCAAAGGATTAAACACAACAGGTGAAAGGAAATGAGAAAAATTTGAAAGTGATAGTTACTAGTTAGATTTGAAGAATTTTCAAGACTATCTTCAAAAATCTGAAAAATTCAAAATGGAGTCTGGTGTTCCTAACCCAGATATAAAATGGCTACCAAAATTCAAACTGATCACCAAGATCAGATCATGGCACAACAGGTGAAAGGAAATTAGACAAATGTGAAAGTGATAATCTTGAAGATTCTCCAAATCTAACTTCTCAGAATTTAAAATGAAGAAACAAACTGACAAAATTCAAACTGATCACAACGATCGGCCCAGATGGTGACACAACAGGTGAAAGAAAATTTATTTCAAATTAGTTTCCATTAAACCATTCTTTATTTCAAAATGGAGTCTGATGCCATGACCAGAGCCATTGAGAACCTTATCAATCCAATTCATTTTCTCTTGAGTGATATGCATCAAATTCCATCTAATTAGTAACTTTCCTAATCATGAAGACCCCACCAGACAAAGCCCCCAATTTCACAGAGCATTGTTGTTGAACACTACTCAAATGTTGTCGAAAGCTGGGAAAGATGTTTAGTTTAATAATAGAAAACAATTCTAGAGATTAATGCAGCTGAGAAGAAAGTAAGTTAATGGTGGAAGAAACTAGGGCGATTGACTTCAAATTACCAGCTAATTATTCGTATTTTATAGGTCAAATCATTTCTATTCAGGTCAAACACGAAACACAGATGAATATCTTTTCATCTTGGTTGAACACAGCATGTGTCTTTTCTAATCTTTTTGGCAAGAATTGTTTTAATCTATTCAAAATACTTGTTCACAAATTCAGAAAAATGAGTGCCTCCACCCAGCGCCAAGCTCATGATTAGGTCAAATACAAGAACAGAGATTAATATCTTGGTTGAACACAGCATGTCTCCTTTTTCTATTCTATTTAGCAACAATTTTTTTAATTGATACAAAATTCAGAAAAATGAGTGCCTCGTCCCAGTGCCAAGCTAATGATTAGGTCAAATGCAAAAACAGAGATTAATATCTTTTCATCTTGGTTGAACACAGCATGTCTCCTTTTTCTATTCTATTTGGCAAGAATTATTTTAATTGATTCAAAATACTATTCTGAAAAAAAAAAACTAGCCCTAGCACAAAAGTTAAAATGGGTCAAAACCATTTATTTTTTTAAATTGCTGTACTGCAGTGTGAACATGTCATGAATCACTAAGATTGTATCAGAAGTTGGAACAGCTGGCTTTATTTTCTTATCAAACTATTGGTAACAAAAAGTGAATCTTCAATATATAAATGTTGATGTGAGAGTGAGTGAAAAATATGCAACTGCAAAGAAAGATAGAGAGAAAGAAAGATAGAGAGAAAGGAAGAAATGCAACTATATTTTACAAGGATAACAACTTTGATTCTCAAGGATCCTGACTATTAGCTGATCCTCTTGGCATTGATCTTTCCTCCATTCTGTAGCCATTTACAGAAGGGTTGATAAGCATTATAAGTGAAGATGACACTAGATTTTAACACACTGTTTCAGATGTAAAATAAGGAAACAAAAACTTCAGTCAAAATCACAAAACAGAATACAAAAAATACAGATACAAAAACATGAAATCTAAAAGAAAAAAAGACATGAAAATATTGCATGAAATGAAATTAATGGAGTTTTTACGTTTCAATGAAAGATCTGGCCTAGGTCACAGAGCAACAGAAAATCTACATGTAGTGATATTTTGTGTCATAATTCTGATGACAGACAAAAATACACACTACTGGCTCAATAAAACCGAATTAGGTTCTTCACATATTGGTTTGTACATTGCATTTGCATTGCATGTCAACAAGTCTTTTTGAAACTTTCAATTGAAATAAACAAAATTCCCTCAGAGTAATCTTGATAAATAATGTCCTCTGTAAACACAAAATTCTAAATAATGATATTGTTCCATGTTAATATTTATTGTATTTTATTTGTTACTCAATTTAAGAATCTGTTCTTTAAAAGTGATAAAGATGGTCTCACTACTAGAACCAGCTGGTATAATTCTCTTATCACATATTAAAATTACTTTTTCACCTGATGTGGTCTCTCACTTCAATCTGAGATTTTAATCTGAAAACTTTTAGTTTCTCTGTCTGCTACAGCCTGCAGGAAGATTAAATTCCATAGCTATCAATGACTTCTGTCTGCACTTTTTGTCATTAGAATAGTATCTCAAAACGGGTGGGGAGGGTATAATTTGAAAATAAGAATGGTATTAACGTTGAACAAAACAGAAAAATTTCAGAAAAAAAATTGATCTCCATAAAAATTTTGACCCAAAGAATGCCAGGAATTTCCCAGATGGTATATTAATGGTGCCAGGAAATTGTGTTAAATTACTGAACTATTACATAAATATCAGGAACTCTTAACATTTGGCGCCAGAGCCTACAGGAAGAGAATCATTAAGACATTTACAGAAGCAGTAATGGTAATTTAAATACACAAATAAAATCAGGTGTAAAGCAGAAGTAGAAAGTAAAATAGCAACATTTAAATACTGGTACTGTTCATTACTATGTGTACTGTACTATATCTAATGTGTGTAGTACTTTGTGTTTATTTACTATGTGTATAGCAAGCACTATGTGTTTATGTACTATGTGTACTGTACTATGTGTACTGTACTATGTGTATTGTACTATGTGTATTGTACTATGTGTATAGCAATATGTGTATTGTACTATGTGTACTGTACTATGTGTATAGCACTATGTGTATAGCAATATGTGTATAGCACTATGTGTATTGTACTATGTGTATAGCACTATGTGTATTGTACTATGTGTATTGTACTATGTGTATAGCAATATGTGTATAGCACTATGTGTATAGCACTATGTGTATTGTACTATGTGTATAGCAATATGTGTATAGCACTATGTGTACTGTACTATGTGTATTGTACTATGTGTATTGTACTATGTGTACTGTACTATGTGTATAGCAATATGTGTATTGTACTATGTGTACTGTACTATGTGTACTGTACTATGTGTATAGCACTATGTGTATAGCACTATGTGTATTGTACTATGTGTATAGCAATATGTGTATAGCACTATGTGTATTGTACTATGTGTATTGTACTATGTGTATAGCACTATGTGTATTGTACTATGTGTATAGCAATATGTGTATAGCACTATGTGTACTGTACTATGTGTACTGTACTATGTGTATTGTACTATGTGTATAGCACTATGTGTATTGTACTATGTGTATTGTACTATGTGTACTGTACTATGTGTATTGTACTATGTGTATAGCACTATGTGTTTATGTACTATGTGTACTGTACTATGTGTACTGTACTATGTGTATCGTACTATGTGTATAGCAATATGTGTATTGTACTATGTGTACTGTACTATGTGTATAGCACTATGTGTATTGTACTATGTGTATAGCAATATGTGTATTGTACTATGTGTACTGTACTATGTGTATAGCACTATGTGTATAGCAATATGTGTATAGCACTATGTGTATTGTACTATGTGTATAGCACTATGTGTATAGCACTATGTGTATTGTACTATGTGTATAGCAATATGTGTATAGCACTATGTGTATTGTACTATGTGTATTGTACTATGTGTATAGCACTATGTGTTTATGTACTATGTGTATAGCACTATGTGTACTGTACTATTTGTACTGTACTATGTGTATAGCACTATGTGTACTGTACTATGTGTATAGCACTATGTGTATTGTACTATGTGTATTGTACTATGTGTACTGTACTATGTGTATAGCACTATTTGTACTGTACTACGTGTACTGTACTATGTGTATAGCACTATGTGTATTGTACTATGTGTACTGTACTATGTGTACTGTACTATGTGTACTGTACTATGTGTATTGTACTATGTGTATAGCACTATGTGTATTGTACTATGTGTACTGTACTATGTGTACTGTACTATGTGTATAGCACTATGTGTATAGCACTATGTGTATTGTACTATGTGTACTGTACTATGTGTATTGTACTATGTGTTTATGTACTATGTGTACTGCTCTATGAATGGATGTGACAGCTTATAATATTTTTAGTTATTTTTTTAAGAAAAAAGTAATATATTGTCTTACCTTGTGCAAGTCGTGTGGGTTTTTGAACTAATATTCCATCTATAGAACACATTGGAGCAGATGGATAAAGGGTGATAACTCCATTTTTATTCTCAATAAAGCAATGATTATATTCTACTCCTGTTCCTTCGATTACAATGTCTGGTTTAACTTTTCCTCTCTTACATCCAATTATTGTTTGTCCTGTAATTATAGATGTATTAAACAAATATTAAATTGCTAGTGGACTCTCCAGAAGTTAAATTTTATTGCATACTGTATATAAAATAAATGATCGTATTGTATTGAGACGTTGTGTATCAATACTTGGCGATACCTTTAATTCCATAAAAAAGTGCGGATTTTTATAAGTTGTTTATATTTTTTTCACTGAAATTGTTAGAAAGTTTTAATAAGATAGTGGATGCTAACCACTTCTATCAACTATATTACCAAATATCACAGTTATAAAGTTATGAATTATATAAAAAAACTTTGAAGATAAAATGTTAATTTTTATGCCATTACCCCATATCGCGAAATCTATCGCATCATGACCCTTGTATCGCAATACGTATCGTATCGTGACATGATTGACGATACCAAGCACTAGTGGATATCTTGACAAAGAATGACAGAGAAATATTTAACTTATGGGGATATTTCTCATTTAAAATATCTCAATATTGGTATATCAACCAGGCCTTAGATGAACTCTTCTCAATATAATACCCTGAGATATCAAATATTTAACATAGATGTTAAGTATATTTTGAAAACATGTCTTGTACCAATGTTTATGCAAGTTTCAGTCTGTAATCTGAGAGCTATATGATGTAACTAAGTTAAAAACACAGCGTGGTAAAGTTGTAAAACAAAATGAAAGTAGAGTGCTGAGATGAGTCAATGTTTTTACACCTGATAGCAACAATTTACCTGTAATTTATAACTTTAGGCCAATATAAATTATATTTTCATTTTCAAATTTTCAATATGTACGTATCATTTGAAACATATTCAATGTATGAACAGGCTAATGCTATCTATGAACAAGCGATAGGCTGTTCCTTATATTTTACATATTGTGCAGTTACCACTTCAGGATGAAAAAAAAATTGAAATTTTTTAACTTTGCCATTATCGACACATAACTGGTGTCAAAACTATACGACAGAATCCCTCTATAATCCTATAAATCCATAACACTAAGTAATAATAATTCATTAACTCTATTTAATTGAAAATTGGATGTCGATGCCATTTTTGTTAAAAAGAGTGGTCTATTAACTTTATCCAAATGGCTATGTATGTAATATGCAAGTGAATTTTGAGTTACAAATGTAAAAATAGCAACGTGCAAAAGTGTTGATTGGACGATTTAAAAATCACATGACATCATGAAGATTCATTATCTCGGTTCGAAATACAAGATATACCCATTACAGGGAATATTCAACCAATAAAGACAAGGTATGAGTAAAATGGTAGGTAACCAAATATCAATTGTGCCAGAGATATCATTAAATTGCAAAATATTAAATTTTCATGAATTATGTGGAAACAGAGAATAAAATTAAAGAGAATTTGGCCTTATCAAAGTATCAGGGAATCTGGTTACTACGGTTACACCTGTCTTTTCTTTTACCTTAAATCATTTTCAATCTTGAAGATTACTTTCTTAAAATCTCTCCATGAATCTTTCACGGTTTGAATCTTTTTTTCTATACTTTTGTTGCTACTAGGAAGTATTTTTATAATTTTCTCACTATAGACCAAAGGTTTTGGAATTTCAGGTTTAATGATTGAACATCATCAAAAGCTTTTATATTCTGAAAACAAGCCAAACTTTACTGGAATTGACCTTGCCCTGAATCTCAAAATGGGGTTCTAGTTAAGCACCAGCTTCCCATGACCAAGGGTACAAAAAGGATCCAGGCAGACTGCATGGGGAACAACTGTCAAGAGATTAAAATAAGGTCAAATGCAATAGATGCAAGCCTAGTGAATGGATCTTCTAGGAGGTATCTCTCCCAATAAAAGTTTTGAAAAATAATTTTCTTGGAGCATTATAACAACTATTTTGAGGCAAAATTTAACTTCTTGAGGAAATGGTGGTACAAATCTTTTTTAAGGGAGGAAAGCAACCAACCACCCCACCTCACACACACTCAATGCATAGTGGGGCCCCCACTGTTCTGGGCATCAGTCAACACCACAGAGGGTACCTGAGGGGTCCTTTTTTTCAAAATGTAGTTTTTAGTGCTGAATGTTCCAGGGGCCTTAGTCTCCAAAATTTATTATAGTTGTCTGATTGGTCAATCACTAGAATAGATTTTAACTTGAGTTTTATTATCCAATCAGATTACAGTGTGTCTTAAAATCTGGTTTTTGTATTAAATTAAGTTTTCAAGAATAAAGTCCCAAAGGGTTATCATCATTCTAAATTCTTACCTTCGTGAATAGGCAATATGGTGACAGCAGTTGACAGTCGGCCACTTCCTAAACTTACAAAATGAGGCTCGTCAGACCTGACCTTGACCGCATTCTCAGTCTCCTTGACCTCTAAAAGGTCAGGTGCTGGTGTTTTGGTGGATGTCATGGTTTCAACCTTATGGATTACATTGTTAAAAATTATTCATTTTTACCTGAAAAGACAGGAAAGGACAATTTTTTGTAAATAACATATCGACAATTATTTTAAAAAGAAGATCAGTTTGGCTACAGTATATCCAATTCACACTCTACAAATTGGTTTACCAACTTGGTAATCCCATAGTAAATATTGGAATATTTAACAAATTGTCACAGGGCTCATGCTTATACTAAACTAAAAACACAAATAAATTAAAACTGACATACTATATATATATATGTACAAGGCAAACTATAATCTATTTATTCTCTGCAATTTGGTTTAACAACTTGGTATCTGTTTCAGAGAGTTCACATGGCCAATATAGTTTTTATTTTCTCATGAAATTGTCAAGGTGTATCATAATATGTTAAGTACATACACAAATCAGGCAGAACTAACCAATTATATATACAGCAGATTACAAACTACATCCATTTACTGTCTTGTCTGCTAGCAGGTTTACTCACTCAGCATTCCTTGAGATGAGAGAGTTCTCATAGTAATTATTGTTTGGTATATTCATAGATTATCACAGTAAATTATCTAATGTTCATACACAAATCAGATAGAACTTACATCCTATTAAGGCAAGCTATGAAATACATCAAAATTACTCACTGTAAATCAGTTTCAGAGAGTTCACATAGCTAATATTGTTTAATATATACCTAGCCAACTGTTCACACTGCAAGATATGAACAATATCCAATTTTCTCTCTGGTAACAGGTTATCCAACTGATATTCCTTTCAGAGAGTTCACATAGCTAATATTGTTTAATGTATACCTAGCCAACTGTTCACACTGCAAGATATGAACAATATCCAATTTTCTCTCTGGTAACAGGTTATCCAACTGATATTCCTTTCAGAGAGTTCACATAGCTAATATTGTTTAATGTATACCTAGCCAACTGTTCACACTGCAAGATAGGAACAATATCCAATTTTCTCTCTGGTAACAGGTTATCCAACTGATATTCCTTTCAGAGAGTTCACATAGCTAATATTGTTTAATGTATACCTAGCCAACTGTTCACACTGCAAGATAGGAACAATATCCAATTTTCTCTCTGGTAACAGGTTATCCAACTGATATTCCTTTCAGAGAGTTCACATAGCTAATATTGTTTAATGTATACCTAGCCAACTGTTCACACTGCAAGATATGAACAATATCCAATTTTCTCTCTGGTAACAGGTTATCCAACTGATATTCCTTTCAGAGAGTTCACATAGCTAATATTGTTTAATGTATACCTAGCCAACTGTTCACACTGCAAGATATGAACAATATCCAATTTTCTCTCTGGTAAAAGGTTATCCAACTGATATTCCTTTCAGAGAGTTCACATAGCTAATATTGTTTAATGTATACCTAGCCAACTGTTCACACTGCAAGATATGAACAATATCCAATTTTCTCTCTGGTAACAGGTTATCCAACTGATATTCCTTTCAGAGAGTTCACATAGCTAATATTGTTTGATATATTCACCACAAACTGTCACAAGACTCAAATTTCTTCTGATCAAATACTTATCAGTGTCATTAACAAATTATATACATGGCAAGTGATGAACAAAATACCAGTATATCAAAGTTACTTACAGCAGGTTTATTTTGGAGAGTTCACATAGCTTATATTGTTTGGTATATCCAACAAATTGTCAAAATGCATAAGAACACGTTCTAAACTGCACTTTCAAACATCAGACTAAGAATTTATACAAAGCAAACTATGAACTATATCCAATTCACTCACTGAAAATAAGTTTATGAGAGTTCACAATATCAGTTAGTAAATTCAACTTGTCACAGACCAGGAATATAAACTTCAGTCTTATAACAAACTGTATGCAGTACCTTATAACTGTATACAGAAACCAAGGGAGGTAATTGGTGTATATAGTCTAACAGGACGCTAACAAGACAGTTGATAAATGATTTCCACACCTGCATCCTGGCGTTTTTATCAGTTTATACTTTATTTTATCTTTTTCATTATATGTTTATTATACTGGTAACAAATACTAAACTCTGGGAGAGGTGAAGGTAAACACACATGGTATGCTTACTTTCTGGAGCACCTGACTAAAATTTCTACATTAGTTCTTGTTCATAAATCATCAACATAAAAATTGTAAATTAAAAAGAAAAAGATAGAAACTACCAAAAAGGATAGGATAAAAACTCAGGTTCGCAAGGATCCTTTCTACCAGTCTTATAATAATCCGTACCCATTTGCAGCAGGGTTGACTGGAACAATGAGGAAAGATGAATTTTTTAGTACTGATTTTCAGCAGAGTTGCTTGGAATATTGTGGAAAAGATGACTCTTTCAGTACCCATTTACAGCTGGGTTCACTGGAACAATGAGGAAAGATGACTCATTCATTACCCATTTACAGTTGGGCCAACTGGAACAATGAGGAAAGATGACTCATTCAGTACCCATTTACAGCTGGGTTGACAGGAACAATGAGGAAAGATGACTCATTCAGTACCCATTTACAGCTGGGTTGACTGGAACAATGAGGAAAGATGACTCATTCAGTACCCATTTACAGCTGGGTTGACTCGAACAATGAGGAAAGATGACTCATTCAGTACCCATTTACAGCTGGGTTGACTGGAATAATGAGGTAAGATGACTTATTCATTACCCATTTACAGTTGGGTCGACTGGAATAATGAGGAAAGATGACTCATTTCTGTACCCATTTACAGCTGGGTTGACTGGAACAATGAGGAAAGATGACTCATTCAGTACCTATTTACAGCTGGGTTGACTGGAATAATGAGGTAAGATGACTTATTCATTACCCATTTACAACTGGGTTGACTGGAATAATGAGGTAAGATGACTTATTCATTACCCATTTACAGCTGTGTTGACTGGAATAATGAGGTAAGATGACTTATTCAGTACCCATTTACAGCACAGGTCAACTGACATTAGAACCTACAGCCACACTTCCATATTATGATTTTGTTTATATGCAACATGATATTGTACCACTGAAGTCAACCTAGAGACATTACACAGTCAAATGGATGACAATAATATAGAATTTTGGTGTTAAAAAAAAAAACATTCAAGGGAAATATCATTTTCAAAACAAAAAATGTAACTATATAGAATATATTTATGATATTTATTAATATAAATAGATAGAAGCTTGATAACTATATCATTTTCCACATCACAATTTTCATAAAGATATGATTTAAAGTTGATGGTTCACCATTTTGAGGGGGCTTTATTTTGGGTCTTGAGAATAGTACTAGTACCAGAAATGCACAAACCGCATAATCCTTTCAAATATACCTCAAATATCACTTTCTCAAGAGTCAACTAAAGACGAGACTTCACTTCCAAATATGGATAATTCTGGACACACAAGGAATTGAAGGCTCAAATGTTGATGGTGAGCTGTGAACACTATTACTGATTAGCTTAGCTAAAAAATTATGTTTCTGAGACTAAGGTACATTTGGTTAAACAGATGATGAACCTATCCCTTTAAAAAAAAAAAACATCACTGTGCAATTTGTAAATGAATATATTTTGCATGACATTTATACCCAAGTCATTGACCTTTACAGACTCTACTGTGACATAACATCACAATACAGAGTGATATATAAACAATATCTAGATAGATCTACTTAAAATACATTTAATATCTAGGCCATCCTGTTTATTATCTGATCTCTCCATTATAGCTTTGATACATGACACAGGTCTGATACACATTTCTTCTGACACAGGGGGACATGGCAATAATCCAGTTTAATGAAAATTGGAATCAGGATGAAAATATATGTATCAATCACAGATAGGCCCATGGGAAGGGAGGGAAGGGAAGGAAATGATGCTCAAGGACTAACATGCAGCTTTGAAACATCTTGTTAAATCTGATCCAACTGGCAAATTTTCACTCAATTAACAAAAGGACAAAGTTAATAAGTTAACTTAGCATTAAGGAGCTCTCTCTGATACATTTTCTGTGATTGATACATATATTTTCATCCTGATTCCAATTTTCATAAAACTGACCCCAGAACATCATCAATGAGATAGTATTTTATCTTACTGTGATGTCACCTCTAGAATCAAGATTGGCGACAATTAAAATCTTTACTAATCAATTAGTCTTAAACATGTGTGAGAAAAATTCTCATAAAATTTTTGTGTGGGAAATAAAAGATGTTTAGTAACGCCCCTGTTAAACATGTAATAAAACAATACTAGCATTGTATGACAGGATATCCTTTCTATACTAATAATAGTAACAGGTCTATCTCATTATAATAGACAGGGGAGGTACAGGCTGACATAAATAAATCTTATCTCATGTCATGTTGTAATCCAAACAAAACCTAATCCTTCAAGATTAAACAAAGAAATAACACAATTTCGCAGAACAAGAAAATTTCATACTTGACATTCATTTGCCAAACTTCTGCAAGAAATTTATTTACATAATTCATTTGATATTTTGTTAACAGAAATTTAACAAGCTATGCTACTGTAATTCCATTTCTTTAACCTTTTCCATACTGAGTAATGCATTGCATGCCCTGAGTTCAAATTCAACTAATATCAATCCAACTACTATGACTACAACTACCGATATCAGCATCCACTGTAAGCGAATGTCATCTACCTACCTAATATAATGTCACATGGTAAGGCTCTCTTGACAGGCATCTATGGTTTATTTCACACAAGCTATGTGTCTACTTGAGTAGCTATTTGAGATCAAATGATTATGAAACTTTGAATGAAATGATAGAATCTCCATGCAGTGTGCAATGGTATGCATGGTGTGCATATTAGCCTTATTAGCTAACTATGGAAGCTCAAAACAGTCATAATTAAATTCAATGCACATTTTAGCTGACTCTTTTTACATTCCCAAGGTCAAGTAATTTTTCAATTGCACGGCCTGAAGCACTTG